TCAAGGTCTAAGTCTGTTGGGCATGACCCACAGGTGGAGGCTCCAAGATAAGCTATACAAGCCTTTTAAAATTTGTATTTTTTTTAAATAATTTTAAAAATTAGAGACGAGGGTCTCACTATGTTGCCCGGGCTAGTCTCAAACTCCAGGGCTGAAGCGAACCTCCCACCTAATCCTCCCAAAGTACTAGGATTACAGCTAGCCTTTTCATTCCTATTACTGAACACCTGCTGGGTGCCAGGATCGATGCAGGAGGCTCACCTCAGGGATGTCCCTATAGCATCCCACAGTTGTATTCTAGGCTCCTGCACACAGGCTGAGACCATGTGGGGAATACATTACCCATCTGCCCCGAAAAGAAGGAAAAAGCTCTGGATGTAATGAAATCATATCAAGATACTAAGTGCTAAAAAGCAAGGTACAAGCTGGGCTCGGTGGCTCACCCCTGTAATCCCAGCACTTTGGGAGGATGAGCAAGTGGGTCACCTGAGGTCAGGCATTCAAGACCAGCCTGGCCAACATGGCAAAACCCCGTCACTACTAAAAATAGAAAAAAATTACCCGGGCGCGGTGGTGTGCGCCTGTAATCCCAGCTACTTGGGAGGCTGAGGCAGAATGGCTCGAACCTGAGAGGTGGAGGTTGCAGTAATCCGAGATTGCGCCACTGCACTCCAGCCTGGGCAATGACTTTGTCTCAAAAAAAACAACAACAAAAAAAAAAAAAAAAAAAAAAAACAAGGTGTAAAACACCATTATACAGGTATTTCTTAGAGACATATAAACCATCTCTGGAGAGAGGGTAATGTGCCTGTCTCTGAGGAGTAGCTGGTAGCTGTCAGCAGGGGTGTAAGGAAGATTCTTTACTAAATATCCTTTCCCATGTCTTGATTTTATTTTTTATCATTTACAAGTATTATTGGTATTATTATTATTATTATTTAGAGATGGGGTCTTGCTATATTGCCCAGGCTGATCTTGAACTCCTAGGCTCAAGCAATCCTCCCTCCTCAACTGATCCCCCCGCCTTGGCCTCCCAAAGTGCTGGGATTACAGGTGTGAGGCACTGGGCCCAGCCAGTTTTTTTTTGTAAGCATGAATTATTGTTGTTATTATTTCAAGACAGAATCTCTGTTGTCCAGGCTGGAGTTTGATGGCACAATCACCATTCACAGCACCCTTGACCTCCTGGACTCAAGTGATCCTCCCACCTCAGCCTCCCAAGTAGCTGGGACTATAGGTGCCCAGAACTTTTCCTTTTCGGGGCAGATGGGTAATGTATTCACTGGTCCCCACATGGCCTCGGCCTGTGTGCAGGAGCCTATAATACAAATTTGGGATGCTATAGGGACACCCCTGAGGTGAGCCTCCTGCATCGACATGGTCCTACAGGATTGGCCCCCTGTGGCCATTTGAGCTCCCCACCCTAGCCCCCATACTCACTATCGCCCACAAAGTATTGGAATTCGGGTGTGAGCCATGAATCTGGACAATTGGATTAATTTTTAATAGGGTAGCAAAAAGTCGTCCATGATAGAGGAACTGTCGAGTGTAAAACTGGTCCATCAATAGAATTTTTTACAGCTGTTAAAATGTTGATGCCCGGCCGGGCCTGGTGGCTCATACCTGTAATCCCTGCACTTTGGGACGCTGAGGTGGGCGGATCATGAGGTCAGGAGATCAAGACCATCCTGGCTAACATGGTGAAACCCCATCTGTACTAAAAAATACAAAAAAAAAAAAAAAAAAAAAAAAAAATGAGCTGGGTGTGGTGGCAGGCGCCTGTAGTCCCAACTACTCGGGAGGCTGAGGCAGGAGAATGGCGTGAACCCGGGATGTGGAGCTTGCAGTGAGCTGAGATCACACCACTGCACCCCAGCCTGGGCAACAGAGCAAGACTCCGTCTCAAAAAAAAAAAAAAAAGATGTTGATGCCTGGCCGGGCATGGTGGCTCACACCTGTAATCCCTACACTTTGGGAGGCCAAGGCGGATGGATCACCTGAGGTTGGGAGTTCAAGACCAGCCTGACCAACATAGAGAAACCCCATCTCTACTAAAAATACAAAATTAGCTGGGCGTGGTTGCGCATGCCTGTAATCCCAGTACTTTGGGAGGCCAAAGTGAATGGATCACTTGAGGTCAGGAGTTTGAGAGCAGCCTGGCCAATGTGGTGAAACCCTGTCTCCACTAAAAATACAAAAAATTAACTGGGCGTGGCAGCAGGCACCTGTAATCCCAGTTACTTGGGAGGCTGAGACAGGAGAATTGCTTGAGCCCAGGAGGTGGAGGTTGCACCGAGCCAAGATTGCACCACTGCACTCCAGCCTGGGTGACAGAGTGAGACTCCATCTCAAAAAAAAAAAAAAAAAAAAAGTTGATGCCTTTCTGTGGGTACATAAACCCTCCCCCATCCCGGATCTCTTGTAGGAAAAGCCAGAGCCTTCACCGTGGCCCACAACAAGGTCCTACAAGATTGGCCCCCTGTGACCATTGGAGCTCCCCACCCTAGCCCCCATACTCACTACTGCCCGCAAGGCTCCGGCTACAGGGGAACCACATCAGCCAGCTCCTGCTTTGGGGACCTTGCATCTGGTGTTCCCTGTCTTCTCCCAGCTCTTCTCACAGATAGCCACAGGGCTCACCCCCCATCGCAGCAAAGCCTCCCAGGCCACCATTTCATCCCCCTCTCCTCCCTTTCCCTCTGGCACTCCTTACCCTCTTGCTGCTTAGTTTTTCTCCACTTCGCTCACAATTTGGCATGGTGTATGTTTCACTTATTTTGTTGATTTCCCTTTAGACCAGAGGTTGCCAAACTACAGCCCTCAGGCCAAATCTGACCAAGGTTTGTTTCTTATATGGTCCTTGAGCTAAGAGTAGCTTCTACAGATGAACACTGCAACCGATTTAATGATAGATAACACTAACTTGGAACCTCAATTAAGGCAATATGTAAACCTTCAAAATTCCATGCTTGCGGGACCTCGTGGTTCATGCCTGTAATCCCAGCACTTTGGAAGGTGAGGCAGGCGGATTGTTTGAGCCCAGGAATTTGAGACTAGCCTGGGTAAAATGGCAAAGTCTCATCTCTACAAAAAATACAAAACTCAGCCGGGCATGGCGGCGTGCACCTGTAGTCCCAGCTACTTGGGAGGCTGAGGTGGGAGTATCACTTGAGCCCAGGAGGTCAAGGGTGCTATGAGCGGTGATTGTGCCATCGAACTCCAGCCTGGACAACAGAGATTCTGTCTTGAAATAATAATAATAATAATAATTCATGCTTACAAAAAAAAAACTGGCTGGGCCCAGTGCCTCACACCTGTAATCCCAGCACTTTGGGAGGCCAAGGCGGGAGGATCAGTTGAGTCCTGGAGTTCCAGACCAGCCTGGGCAATGTATCAAGACCCTATCTCGATTATTTATATTTCAGAAACAAACAGGTTGGGCATGGTGGCTCACACCTGTAATCCCAGCACTTTGGGAGGCCAAGAAGGGTGGATCGCTTGAGTTCAGAAGTTTGAGATCAGCCTAGCCAACATGGCAAAACCCCGCCTTTACCAAAAAATAAATACAAAAATTAGCCAGGTGTAGTGGTGTGTACCTATAGTCCCAGCTGCTCCGGAGGCTGAGGTGGGAGGATTGCTTGAACCTGGGAAATCGAGGCTGCAGTGAGCCGATGTTGCACCACTGCAATCCAGCCTGGGTGACAATGGGAGACCCTGCCTCAAAAAAAAAAAAAAAAATTAAATAAAAAAAGGAAAAACAAAAGTGTACTCAAATATTATCATAATTTAAATATTGTCCATAAACATTTTGTGGAAATTTGTTTTATCTTGTTATATGAGTACTGACAACATCCTTGCTATTGAAGTCTGCAAAACCTAAAACATTCACTCTGTGCTCTAGACAGCTCCGCACAGGCAGGAACTTCATCTGTCCGCTGCTATGACCTGAGCACCAAGAACAGGGTCTGGTTCAGTAATTATTAGCTGAATGAAATGAATGAACTCATATATATATACACACACACACACGTGTGTGTGTATATATATATGTACACACACATATATGTATAATTTTTTTTTTTTGGAGGCAGAGTCTTGCTCTGTTGCCCAGGCTGGAGTGCAGTGGGATGATCTTGGCTCACTGCAGCCTCTGCTTCCCAGGTTCAAGTGATTCTCATGCCTCAGCCTCCCGAGTAGCTGGAATTACAGGCGTGAGCCACCACACCAGGGTAATTTTTGTATTTTTAGTAGAGATGGAGTTTCACCATGTTGGCCAGGCTGGTCTCGAACTCCAGTTTGAGAGTTATATATGCCCAGTCTGAACTCATATATTTTTAACTGAAAAAAATATCAGGTGTTGCCGGGCGCGGTGGCTCATGCCTGTAATCCCAGCACTTTTGGGAGGCTGAGGCGGGAGGATCACCTGAGGTCGGGAGTTGGAGACCAGCCTGATCAACATGGAGAAACCTTGTCTCTACTAAAAATACAAATTTAGCTGGGCGTGGTGGCAGGTGCCTGTAATCCCAGCTACTTGGGAGGCTGAGGCAGGAGAATCACTTGAACCCGGGAGGCGGAGGTTGCAGTGAACCAAGATCGCACCATTGCACTCCAGCCTGGGCAACAAGAGCAAAACTCCATCTAAAAAAAAACAAAAACAAACAAACAAACAAAACAGGTGTTTTAAAAAAAAAATCAAGTGGGCTGGGTACAGTGGCTCATGGCTATAATCCCAGCATTTTGAGAGGCCAAGGCAGGAGGACCAGATGAGCCCAGGAGTTCAAGACCAGCCTGGGCAAGATGGCAAGACTGTGTCAACGACAACAAAATTAATAATTAGTTGGGCATGGTGGCACACACCTGTAGTCCCAGCTACTTGGGAGGCTGAGGTGGAAGGATCCCTTGAGCCCAGGAGTTGGAGACTGCAGTTAACTATGATCATGCCACTGCACTCCAGCCTGGGTGACAGAGAAGACTCCATCACTTTTTCTTTCTTTTAAATTAAAAATATGGAATGCTTTATGAATTTGTGTGTCATCCTTGCACAAGGGCCATGCTAATGTTCTCTGTATCATTCCAAATTTAGTGTATATGCTGCCAAAGCGAGCGCAGGACTTCATCTCTTAAAAAAATATATCAGGTGAACAGCATATGTAATAGGCTGCCTTTCGTGCAGAAGTAAATAAGATAATATCTGTCTCTGAGAGATCCAAGAAGCTGGCTGCTTCAGAGGACGGGAGCAGGGCGGGGAAGAAAGATGGCTTCTTTCTCTATAAGCTTTTTTTAAAATTTTTATTTATTGAGACGGAGTCTCACTCTGTCACCCAGCCTGGAGTACAGTGCCATTATCTCGGCTCACTGCAAGCTCCGCCTCCCGGGTTCATGCCATTCTTCTGCCTCAGCCTCCTGAGTAGCTGGGACTATAGGTGCCCACCACCACGCCCAGCTAAATTTTTTATTTTTAATAGAGATGGGGTTTCACTATGTTAACCAGGATGGTCTTGATCTCCCAACCTCGTGATCCACCTGCCTCAGCTTCCCAAAGTGCTAGGATTATAGGCGTGAGCCACCTCGCCCGGCACTTTTTTTTTTTGAGATGGAGTCTGGCTCTGTTGTCCAGGCTGGAGTGTAGTGGCTCAATTTCGGCTCACTGCAACTTCCATCTCCCAAGTTCAAGTGATTCTCCTGCCTGGTCTCCTGAGGAGCAGCTGGGACTACAGACACATGCCACTGTGCCCAGCTAATTTTTGTATTTTTATTAGAAACGGGTTTTTGCCATGTTGGCCAGGGTGGTCTCGAACTCCTGACCTCAGGTGATCTGCCTGCCTTGGCCTCCCAAAGTGCTGGGATTACAGGCGTGCGCCACTGTGCCCGGCCTCTAGAAGTCTTTTTTTGTTTGTTTGTTTTTGTTTTTAGATGAAGTCTCCCTGTGTCACCCAGGCTGGAGCGCAGTGGTGTGATCTTGGCTCACTGCAACTTCTGCCTCCTGGGTTCAAGCGATTCTCCTGCCTCAGCATCCCCAAGTAGCTGGGACTACAAGTGTGCACCACCATGCCCAGCTAATTTTTTTTTTTTTTTTTTAGTAGAGACGAGGTTTCACCATGTTGGCCAGGCTGCTCTTGAACTCTTGACCTCAGGTGATCCACCTGCCTCGGCCTCCCAAAGTGCTGGGATTACAGGTGTGAGCCCAGTCTAGAAGCCATTTTAAAGAATATGAATGTTTTATTTCCGAGATATGTGTCACTATTTCAAATAAACTTTTCATGAAAAAAACCCAGCCACAAAAAATGAGGCAGATACTGACAGCCTCTGAGACTCTTCTTCCTCTGTCCAATGGAGTAATATGTCTGGTGACCAACCAGCCCAGTTTGCCTGGCACTGAGGGTGTTCTGGGGCAATCCCGGACAAAGTGGGAGGAGGTGGTCACCTTGGAAAAAGAAAAGTTGTGGAAGCCTTCAAAGGTGGATGTGGGGGGGCTGAGCTGGGCCCCGAAGCCAGGCCTCTCTGCACCTGCCCAGGTCCGATCACACGTCTGCCAGAGCCCAGTTCCACACCTGGGAGATCGATGCCTCTGGAGCTCAAGGCCTGAGATAGGCCACTGGGATGTTCCTATAGTGCAAAGTGCACCTTCCCCAGTGAGTCTCTGGGCACTTGCAGGGTGGGCGGGCTCAGGGCCTCATACGTGCACACTTGCTCCCACACTTCTCATTCAGACTGTCTCAGACTTGGCCCCTTACCCATCAGACTGCACTGATAGAGCCCTGCTCTCTCCATCTTCCTGGCAGAAGGCTGAACCTGCCTCCAGGAAAATCCCAGGGTCTCATGGCTCCCCTGCCGGCACCTACCTTGCATACCTGTAGAGCTTTGTGCATCTTTGACCCACAGCAGGTGAGAGGTATTGGCAAGAAGAGGAAAGTGAGAGCAAACTCTTTTGTTTTCTTTTTCTTTTTTATTTAGGGACTTGGCTGCCGCGCAGACCACAGTGACCTGGCTCTCGCGTCTGCCCGCAGTCTCCTTTTTCCCCAAGGATGCCTGGAACACCCTTCCCCAGATCCTCCCAGAGCTGGCCTCAGTTCACATATTACCTTAGTGATGTTAATGCCATTTCCCTTTCCCATCTCTGTCACATTGGCCTTGAGTGGTAGGCAAGATTATCAGCTCCATTTTATAAATGAGGAAACTGAGGCTCAGAGAGATGCTGTACTAACATGCCCAAGGCGTAGTGAGCAAGCTGTGGCGGGTACCTGGGTGAATGGACTAGGATACTGTGATAAACCAGCTGTGCAGACAAGGTTCCTGCACCGCGTAGCTCACAGGCGAGGGGGGAAGAGGGGTAACAGCTGGTTCAGTGTTCATGCAACTCTGAGGCACCTAAGGTGACTCAGAGGAGTGAGAGCCAGGCTGACTCCAGCTTGAGGTCACAGGCATGAGCAGGTGAGTGAAGGGGCTGGTGGAGGGTGGGGTAAGAGGACATTCCAGGTGACAGTGATAAAAAAGCCCAGGGGCAGATGAGTGTTCCAGGAAATGAAAGTGTTCAGGGAGGCCCCTTAGAGTTTCTGAGACTGCCAGTTTTTGTTGTTGTTGTTGTTATTTTATTTTGTTTTATTTTTGGTGAAACGGAGTCTCACTGTCACCCAGGCTGGAGTGCAATGGCATGATCTCGGCTCACTGCAACCTCCACTGCCCAGGTTCAAGCGATTCACCTGTCTCAGCCTCCCAAGTAGCTGGGATTACAGGCGCCTGCCACTGCGTCCGGTTAATTTTTGTATTTTTAGTAGAGATAGGGTTTCACCATCTTGGCCAGGCTGGTCTTGAATTCCTGAACTTGTGATTCTTCCGCCTTGGCCTCCCAAAGTGCTGGGATTACAGGTGTGAGCCACCACACCCAGCTGAGACTGCCAGTATTTTTTAAAATCAGAAATGCTTAAATGGAGTTTCGAAAATTATGGTCTGTTTGTCGTACTTTTATTGAAAACATTAACACTTTTAACACATATATACAAATCACTACAGAGCACGGAGCCTGGGGTGGAGCCTAGCCCTTCAACCTCTGCTTCTGTGACCCCGGGTCAGTCCCTTCCCTTCAATTGTTTTTTTTTTTTTTTTTTTTTTTTTTTTGGCCACTGCGTCCGCCGGTTAATTTTTTTGGGTTTTTAGTAGAGATAGGGTTTCACCATCTGTGCCAGGCTGGTCTTGAATTCCTGAACTTGTGATCTTCCGCCTTGGCCTTCCCAAAGTGCTGGGATTACAGGTGTGAGCCACCACACCCAGCTGAGACTGCCACAGTATTTTTAAAACTTAGAATGCCAAATGGAGTTTTGAAAATTATGTCTGTCATCTGATTTTTATTGAAAAAACATTAACACTTTAACACATATATACAAATCACTACAGAGCACGGAGCCTGGGTGAGCCTAGCCCTCTCAACCTCTGCTTCTCAGGGACTCTCGGTCAGTCCCTTCCCTTCAATTGTTTTTTTTTTTTTTTTTTTTTTTTTTGAGACGGAGTCTCGCTCCTCTGTCGCCCAGGCTGGAGGCAGTGGCCGGATCTCAGCTCACTGCAAGCTCCGCCTCCCGGGTTTACGCCATTCTCCTGCCTCAGCCTCCCGAGTAGCTGGGACTACAGGCGCCCGCCACCTCGCCCGGCCAGGTTTTTGTATTTTTAGCAGAGACGGGGTTTCATACAGTGCTAGCCAGGATGGTCTCGATCTCCTGACCTCGTGATCTGCCCATCTCGGCTCCCAAAGTGCTGGGATTACAGGCTTGAGCCACCGCGCCCGGCCATTCCCTTCAATTGTAACCACACCCAGGACAGGAGCTGAAACTGACGGCCACCTCAGCAGCCTACACACACACACCCCCTCACCAAGAGCAGCCCCTCTCCTGCCCTCACCTGGCTTTTCTCACTTATCTTGGAGATTAATAGTTTCCAGATAAAATACAGATGCCCAATTACATGTGAAGTTTAGATAAACAACAAATAGGTTTTTAGTGTATAAGGCTGCATGAGACACATGCTTCATTTTAAATTCAAATTTAACTGCGCCTTCTGTGGCTTTATTTACACATTCAACCCTACTTGGAGATGGGCTCCTATCAGCGTTTCCAGCACAATCTATAACCAGTCCCCTGTTGATGGGCAATTAGGTCGTTTCCCATTTTTTGCTTTCCAGGAACAACAGCCCCATGAAGATCTTTGCACAAAGGACTCTGACCTCATCTATTGATTGTATCTGCTGGGTGTGTTCCTGGTGTCACTTAGTCACTTTCCTGACTAGATTCCCTTGTGGCCATGGAGACTCCCATGGATCATGGGAAATTCCTTCAGTCTCCATCGAAAGCAACTCCCTGTCACTCTCCCAATCTCATTTCATCAACCTTGCCTTTCTTGTCTCTCTCCATCTCTCTTTTTTTTGAGACAGAGTCTCGCTCAGTTGGCCAGGCCAGGAGTGCAGTGGCGCGATTTCGCCCCTGCAACCTCTGCCTCCCAGGCCCAAGAGATTCTTGTGCCTCAGCCTTCTGAGCAGCTGGGACTACAGTCGTGCCACTAAGCCCAGTTAATTTTTGTATTTTTAGTGGAGACAGGGTTTCTCATGTTGGCCGGGCTGGTTTCAAACTCTAGAACTCATGGATCTGCCCAATCCAGCCTTCCAAAGTGCTGGGATTACAGGCGTGAGCCACCGCACCCAGCCTCTGTTTCTCTGCATCTGTCTCTTCCTCTGCTTCTATAGATCTCTTGACTCTCAGCCCTTTCTCTCGCAATCTCCCCAGACTGTCAGCCTCTGTCCCTTCTCAGAGACTTTCTCCTTTGACCTAACAGCTCTACAAACAAAATAATCTGACAAGTTGTGGGAAGAAGTGTATTTTTAAGGATGCTCACTCTAGTACTGTCTGTAGAGCTAAGCTAGAAACAACCTAAACACCTATTGCTAAACAAAGTATGCTCTGTCCCTACCAGGCAGCATCATGCCATTGAAATAACACCTACATCAACATGGAAAGATGTTGACAGATATCAGCATGAAAAACACAAGTTATAGATGGACAGTAAAGCATTTTAAGATTTTCGGTTTCAATCAAAACTATAATGACCTTGGCCAGGGCAAGGTGG